TAGTAAAAAAAAAAAATAACTAATTGCGCGTGAATACTGAGAGAGAGAGAGAGAGAGAGAGAGAGAGAGAGAGAGAGAGAGAGAAGATCGAATAACCACCAAACACTTGAGATGCTAATAGTATGCGAATAGGAAGAACACAAATCTAAATCCATTAATCATGGCTACTGAAAATAAAATATATCGGTAGAAAGCAAGCACCCAGACACACACACATTACCAAACATAAATCTTCAATAAGATTTATCGATTTTCACACACACACACACACACACACACCGACCGAAAAGACATTATTTTGGGAGAGTTATATTGGTGGTGGTGGCCCAACAAAAAACAAAAATCGACATTTGGCCGGTTCGATCTAATAAAGCAATAGTAGTTTGTTTGCCATCATCATCATTACCACAAATCAATCGATTTAGCTTGAATCAAACCTACCAGGTTTTGACCACCAACACCATCATCACATTATCAACAACAACAAACATTATTTCAATTAATCACACTTATCGATTAATTTTCGGTTCAAACATTGTTGTTGTTGTTTTTTTGGTTGTTTGATGATGTCAATCATTGATTACACCTAAACCAAGTATAATTCTTTAAATGAAATGAGGTGATAAACAAGATTTACGATCGTTAACCAAACAAACAGCGAAGTATCGAAGTAACAAATCACCAGAATAACCAAAGAGACAGAGACAGAGAGAGAGAGAGAGAGAGAGAAACAATTGACCAATGTGTCTACACACCAATATTGTCAGTCCAAATTCAAATTCAGACAGTCAGACAATAGTATTGACATGTCAATGTAGTAAAAAAATTCAATGTAAAAAGATTGTCCATTGTATTCATTTTCACAAATTCATCGATCATGTTACCAAAATGAATGGAATGTTATGCTATGTGATGAGCTGCTTCTTCTTCTTCTTCTGCTGCTGCTGAGGCCATATTATCATTCATGTTTGATGAATCAATTTTGGATAGAAAGAAATAGAGAGAGAGAGAGAAAGACATGTAAATGTGTGGAGATTAGTTTAGCTTTTTCATTCTTTCGTTCATTCGCCCAAAAATACTGAATGACCAGTGAAGAATGGAAAAGAATATACCTCATCCGATACAAACTGGCGACTGGTCAAGCATAATAATGTCACGTCGATGGTGGTGGCCGCCAGTCGAGAGAGAGAGAGAGAAAGAAAAGATTTTCATTTTATATTTGATTTTTTTTTTTTTTTTTTTTTTTTTTTTTTGGGAAAAAAAAAAAAAAAAAAAATTACCCCCCTTCCCATACACTTGTTTTTTA